CCCCCGCCTCGCCGGAAATGAAAACGGCAGCGAGGCACCATCGGGTCGCTGGCTGTGCGGGGCCAAATCCCCTGCTCAGGTTGAAATCCAAGTGCCACCGTAAGCATGAGCAGCGTTGGGAAAGTAGCGGCGGGACGGCGTGTTCAGCCCAGTGCGGGGTTTTCTTAGCAGTGGGGTTCGCACCCGCGTGCTGGGCACAAGGGCGGCTCCATGCCGCGGTCTGCAGGGAGGGGAAGGATTTCAGATCCCGAATGAGCTGGTGTCATGGCCTCCAACTCCTCTGGGTTGTGATAGAGGTTTGCAAATGCCATTTTCCTTCCATCAATGAGTATAGTGAATTAGTCGGTGATTTCCCCTTGCTCCTGCCTCTGGCAGGAAATTGCATTCGCTGTGCCGCAGCAGCCCTGCTTGTGATCAGCCCGTGTTACAGTTCTGCCTTGCTTCGGCCCCAGTTTTTCAGTGTCTGCCGAGAGCATTGCTGTGCCACAGCCCAGACCGAGACACCTATCTAGGCAGTGCTGGAAAATGGGGTTGTTTTTTTTCGGGGGGGAGGTTCGTTGTTTGTTTCTTTCAAAAATCCAGAGTGAACAGGAGCAGCTGAAGTTCGGGGTGATGCTGCCAGTCCTGTGCACAAGTGGTGAACCTTGTGCTCCCAAATCACTGGGGAACTTGGCTGCCCCATGGCGTGCAGAAGAGGCGCCCCAGCGTGGGGGCCGGGTGCAGTGTGAGTGCACCCCAGGGCCACGTTGGGGCTCACCCTCTGCTCTTGTCTCTGCAGCAATACTTCATCCTCCTCATCATCACAGACGGGGTCATTAGTGACATGGATGAGACAAGACACGCCGTGGTGCAGGCCTCCAAGCTGCCCATGTCCATCATCATTGTGGGGGTGGGCAACGCCGACTTTGCCGCCATGGAGTTCCTGGATGGAGACAACCGCGTGCTCCGCTCCTACACTGGCGAGGAAGCTGCACGTGATATTGTGCAGTTCGTGCCCTTCCGGGATTTCCGCAATGTGAGTGTGGGTGGCTCACGAGACGCCTCTCCAGCCCAGCCTGGGGCTGCCCTGGGGCTGGGCCCCAGGGGCTGCGGTGTTACTCATGCCATTGCACGAGCCATTCTGCAACGCCATAGTGAGCCCGGGCCCCGGGAGGGGTGCACTGACCTGGCAGTGCTCCTGGTCACAGCCCGGCGCCTGCGGCAGTTTGCAGCTGTACAAACTTGTGCAACGCCTGCACTGTCCCCGCACATTTCCCCCCTTCTCCGGGCAGGGTTCCAGCTGCCCAGGGTCTGATGTGGTGTTTTAGGTAGGAGGAAAGTTAATGAGATTAAAAACAAAAGCCGAGCTCAGCTGCAGTTCTCTGCTGTTCTCAGTCGGACAGGAGTCAGCCCTGGGCTGGGGTTGGCGCTGGCTATGCCACATCCTGGCCGCGCCATACCGCCGACACACTTGCCAAAGAATGCAGAAAAAATCAAACTCTGCTTATCTTTCCTTTCCTTTTTTTTGCATAACAAATGGTGTATTTCCAGTTCACTTACTGTTATGCAATACCTGATGTTTCTACCCTACAGAGGATGTTTTATTCCCTATCCACTTGTGAACTATCGCCCAAAAGGAAGCTATAATACCCAGTATAAGTTCAGGTGTTGGAAAGCATGAGTGTCAAGAGGTGCCTAGATACTGTTCATGGTGTCTTCTAGTACAGCCTCTAGCGGGTATTAAGTCAAATGTCAGAATTTGGAGCTGAGAGAGTACTGGGGAAGGGCCATTCACGTTCTCCCTGCTCACCCTCTTCTCTAGGCATCTGCGGTGGCCTCCCCAAAATGGTGCTGATCTGGGGAACCCTTGGTCTGTCCCTTACAGCTATTCGCATGCTTGTGTTTCTTTTTTTTGTCTGCAGGCCCCCAAGGAAACTCTGGCCAAAGCCGTGCTGGCAGAGCTGCCCCAGCAAGTTGTGCAGTACTTCAAGCGCCAAAACCTGCCACCCATCAACTCGGAGCCTGCGTAGAGCCGTGCCAGGCAATGCCGTCTGCATGTTGCTGAAGTCTGTTGGTTTTATTGAAAGTGCATGTTTCACATGCTTTTGAAAGAATTCCCTCCCCAAAACACACAAATTTGTACTTCTTAATTTAATTGTTAAGTTCTTAAAATTCATCCCAGAGAAGCATCTGGATTCATTTTGTACAGTCCTGGGCTGAGGTAACACTAAGAGGCCAGGCCATGCCCTGGTCCTGCTCTCAAGTCACTTTTCAGTATTGAATGTACTTTGTATAATTTTGGTGGAACAGGATACAATTTTTACAATCAAAACTTGCTTTTTCCAAGCAATGAAACACTTAATATATTATTATTATTATCATTCAATGAACTAGTCCTTGTATAGGTCATGTATCTGTGCTGTACCTCTGTCATGCTCTATGTTCATTTTTATACTGTGTTATATTTGTTATACTCAGGTTAATAAAGAAACTGGGACATTTAAAACAAGGTTCTCCTTGTTCAACCCAGGGACCGGGTGCTGGGCCAGGGATTACTCAGGGGTGCAGTACAGCACCATGAAGCCTGACACTGGGATGATGGTTTAAAAACCTTTTGGGCAGTGACAGCAGGGTGACAGTCCTACTCCCCATGCCTTTGATGATGCTTTCAGACAAATCTAGGCCTGTTGCTGGGGCTGTAAGTGCTTTGACTCATCCGCAGTTATAGCAAAAGCTGCAAACTCATCTTGTAGGGGGGAAATAAAGCCCAACAAACCCACAGTCGTCTGCTCGTGCAGGCCACTCCTCCAGGAAGTTTTGTGAGCCTAAGGAAGCAGTACCAAGTACCCTCCTGCCTGTGAGCCCAGGCAGTAACTCTGCAGGCAGGTTGCCCCGTAGGCTCTTGGTGCTTGCCTGCGCGGAGGCAGGTTGCACAGGTGCTGCTCTTCGGGCTGGCGAAAAGACCAGTGAGCCTGCATCAAACTGGCGAGGGAGCCTGACGAGTCCTTGCCACTTCATCGCTGGAAATCTTTCCAAGTCCAAGTAACAAAAGCTCACTGCTAGCTGGCAGAAGATTAGCTATGGTGACACCTGGGTAATTAAATCCCATTTTCTAGGAGTTCTTCGGAGCTGAGGATCAGAAAAGTGATACCTTCAGTGCTAATTACCGCTTTGTTCTGTTGTTAACTAGATCAAGGCCTTTGAAGATGGCTGGTAGAAAGTTGAATATATTACAGGACTCACCAGCAATTCAGCCTCATCTCAAACTCAATGAGACTTGACTTGCCTTCTCCTCATTAGCTAACCTGCTTACAGTGGGAGTTTTGTGTCACCTTGCTGCCCACCCTGAGTAAAGGCTGGAGCGGATTTGCACGTGTGCATTCCACTGGCTCTGCTAATTGTCACTGACTTACTTTCAGAGTGAAATGTCTGGTTGTCACTGCTGCAGCCGTGCCATCGTCACGCAGGCAGCCCCACGTAGCCAGAGCACGGAGCCAAAGCCGACGGTGAGGTCCCCCTTCCAGGCAGGTCCAAGTGTGGCTCAGTGGCACAAGGACCTGTGCCAGCCTCAACCTTGGTAAAGGTGGGGCTGCTTAGTGAAATAGTCTCCTTGCAAAGTCCCCTGAAAGCGGGGGGAATCCTCCAAACCTCCTTTCCCAATTGGGGAAGCTGGCTTTGAATGGTGGCTGTGTATACAGTTCCAGTCATCTCCTAAGCAGGCTCTGTGATGCTCAGCTTCCAGACCAAAGTCCATGGCTCAGGAGAGACTATTTCTTCTTTCCTTAAGAAAATCTCACATACTCACTAGCAGCAAGCTCTTCTGCTGGTAGGGTTTCTTTTTTTTTTTTAAACACCTCTCTGAAGCCTTAACAACTAGCACAGACAACAAGTAGTTCATGAAGCAGAATCCTTGGAAAGGAGATGAGGCAGATGGTATGCAGTTGTGGCAAAGACAGAGGGAAGGTCTTCAAAAAAACCAAAAAAACCCCATGCCCACAGTTCACTACTAAATGATGGCGTTGATGGAACCATTCATTCTTCCCTAGCATGCTGCCCCCAAAGCAGAGTTATTGCGTGGCTGCTGTTTTCAGAAGCTCTAAGTTTCCCTCTACCCCTTGCAGTCTTTGTGCCCCTGCATATCTCTGAACACACTTAACTATTTTAGCATCAAATGGCTTTGGAGTGTAAGAAGGTGAACGGGACAAGTAAATATACTGACTGCAGCTGGGACTGCTCTACAGCTCATTTACATGGGCCAGGCCACAGGAATAGACTGGAGGAGGTGACTCAGACTCAAAGCCTCGGGTGAGCAAAATGGGTTCCCCAAGTGCCCTATCCTGCTCTCCTGGGAACAAGAAGAAAGAGGAGTCTCTCATGCCTGCTTTTACTGAGTTACAGCTCCTTCTAGCCACGCAGGGTCTAACATAGCTGGCAGCACCTCCCTTCTGGCCTCGTTTACAGCCCCTGAAGAACAGTGCGATGTCTGCCCAAAATTGGCTGCAAAATCCCACTCGAAGTTTCCATCTGAATCCAACACAATCGCTTTGCTTGACTGTGGTTGTACAAAACGCCACCCAGAAAAGCGATGCCCAGCATGCTCACAGCCAGGCCAGGCTGTTCTGACACTATTTAGAGATTACTGTGATCTAACTTAACACAAGGCCAGGACACCTACATTTCTCACTTCAGCTGCTCAAGGCTCTTGCACATGCACCTTTCAAGAACAGGCATTTTTGTGCACGCCACTTCCCTTTTCACTAAATAGTGAAGTGTAATGAAAGTCATAAAAAGCAAAGCATTAGGGAGGCAGCAAGAGATCTAGTTATTTTCCACCTGAAAGTACCATAATTACAAAAGCTAGCAAAGAGGCAAGAGCAACTCTAGAGCAAACACAAGAGGTGCCAGACAGCTCAGAACAACAAGGGGGTTGCAGGGTTTTTGCAGGGGATCCAGTGCTAAATAATTCACTGATTCCCCTGTCTCGGGACAGGGTTTTGTGAACAGCAAAGGCATGTGGTTGTGATCTATTCAAATTCAAAAGACCATGGGGCAATGCTGGCATCATTATTTTGAGCCACACTGAAAAGGTTCAGTGTCCAGCAATCTAAGCAAAACTCTGCCCCTAAAAAAAAACCTGCTGGAGAGGCTTGGGGAGGGCACTGCATTCTGCTGCACACTTAAGGATAGTTTCAGCATAATGATAACTTTCCTTGTTTCCCTCCAGGATGAAGTTCAACCCTTGAGGTAAGGCAGGGATCGTACAGCTCTCACCATTTCTATTCCAGCTGCTGCCTTCCCAGTCACTCAGTGTCACATTCAGATAATTGCACTTTGGTATGCACACATCAGCTTTCCCTCTCCCACCTATTTTTTCAGAACCTCAGACACTTCTGAGTCTAGTAAGTAGAGCAGGACTGCCACGTAGGAGACTGTCATAAAGAAATTCCCACTCCTGAGCAGCCAAGTCTAGCTGTTGCAACCCACCAACCTCCCATCAGCACCATTTGTGTAGAGATGAAAAGAGGGGGGTCCTCAGCTTTCACAGCCTGCTTATTGCTCATTACTGGATCCCTTGTCCACACCACCCATAAATACTCCCATTTAAGGCTTCTTAAGTCCTAAAAAACTCTAGTAATTACCATCCTTTGCAGTAGAAGGATGGACAGAGTTCTTTGCTGTGTGCCTGCACACAAAAAGGTTTGATTGAACTCTGATATCCCACCTGCTCTGTATTCACGTTCTTCAGGAGCTATCACAGAAAAGCTGAACGTCTTTTCAAGTGCTCGTACAGGAGCAATAGGTTTTTAGCAGAACAGTCGGCTACAGTTTCTCTGAACTCATTCAGAACGAGAGTTTTACATCACTGCCTCTGCATTTGTCGGAGGCTGGCTTGCACTTCTCTTGGATGGTGGTTTGGGCAAAGGGCTGGCTGGGTACAGCAGAAATTGCTTAATGGGATAGGAACAATTATGAATGGCACAAGCTAGGATAGAAATGCATTCAGAATGTCTTTAATCATGTAACACTAAAACTTTTTTTACAGTGTCATGGCAATCTACACTTCACCATCTGCTTGATTTTTATTCTGCCCCCATTTCTCAAATACAGAATAAAAATGACATTTTAAAACAGAACACATGGCTGTTTCTACAAGACTTCAGTGCTTCAAGTAAATTTTTCTTTTGCCTGTTAGTCTTGTATAAACTTCTTAGATCACCAGGAAAATTTTTTCTTTCCCT